CCCCCCCCCCCCTCCCTCCTGGAAAGAGTTGATGAAAAGACTATATAAATACTATTTGAAGTTTGTATAATGTTTACACCTGCAGCCCCCAGTGTTAAATAAATATCAGGAAATTTCAATTTATAAAAAGATTTTTAAAAGAAGAAACTAAATATTGATGATTTTATAATCCCAATCGTTTATTTATTGATATAAATATAACAAATCTAGATTTCAGCCATTTCATGTCAAACTAAAGTAAATTGCACCAACTATTACAATCTACTCGGTCACAAAGCCATAAAACTAGAGTAGCTACGCGGTCACAAAGCCATAAAACTAAAGGAGCTACGCGGTCACAAAGCCATAAAACTAGGGTAGCTACGTGGTCACAAAGCCATAAAACTAGAGTAGCTACGCGGTCACAAAACTATAAAACTAGAGTAGCTACGCGGTCACAAAACTATAAAACTAGAGTAGCTACGCGGTCACAAAGCCATAAAACTTGAGTAGTTACGCGGTCACAAAGCCATACAACTAGAATAGCTACGCGGCCACAAAGCCATAAAACTAGAGGAGCTACGTGGTCACAAAGCCATAAAACTAGAGTAGCTACGCGGTCACAAAACCATAAAACTAGAGTTGCTACACGGTCACAAAGCCATAAAACTAGAATAGCTACACGGTCACAAAGCCATAAAACTAGAGGAGCTACGCGGTCACAAAGCCATAAAACTAGAGGAGCTACGTGGTCACAAAGCCATAAAACTAGAGTAGCTGCGCGGTCATTAAGCCATAAAACTAGAGGAGCTACGCGGTCACAAAGCCATAAAACTAGAGGAGCTACGCGGTCTCAAAACCATAAAACTAGAGTAGTTACGCGGTCACAAAGCCATAAAACTAGAGTAGCTACGCGGTCACTAAGCCATAAAACTAGAGGAGCTACGTGGTCGCAAAGCCATAAAACTAGAGTAGCTACGCGGTCACAAAGCCATCAAACTAGAGTAGCTACGCGGTCACAAAGCCATCAAACTAGAGTAGCTACGCGGTCACAAAGCCATACAACTAGATGAGCTACGCGGTCACAAAGCCATACAAATAGAGGAGCTACGCGGTCACAAAGCCATACAACTAGAGTAGTTACGCGGTCACAAAGCCATACAACTAGAGGAGCTACGCGGTCTCAAAGCCATACCAGTGATCTTCTCCTTCTGTATAGTTTGCAGTGGGATAATTTTGAATAAGTTTTCTTTTAGATTTTAAGCATTTCTAAAAATTAGGCCTTTTTTCATTAATTATTAGCTTAAAAATTCAGGAATTCTAGATTAAAGATGGTTGAAGGAAAGAATCTATCAGAATCTCTTGTTAATATTTATTGGTCCGCCAGACAGATACATATACTGTATATTTGGATACCTTATTTTCCCCTGCAAGCAAAAAGGTAATTTTAATTTATAATTATCATTATTATTATCATTATTATTGTTAATTTATTATTTTTCTTATTATCTAGTTACTAGGCTTTTTGCTACACCTCGGATAATGTGCAAGATCATCAAGCATCAAGATCATCAAGCATCACGATCATCAAGCATCACGATCATCAAGCATCAAGATCATCAAGCATCAAGATCATCAAGCATCAAGATCATCAAATGTGATAAAAGGAGTTTTGGTTCAGAGTAGATTATCACCAGTTGGAGTCTTGAAACTGATGTGAAAGAACATCTTGGGCAGTACTTGTAAATGATACTTATACTTGATGCAGGCATCCCCCCCCCCTTCAAAGCACAAAGGCGTGAGTTTAAAAAACTTATTCTTTTAAATTTCATCCCCTTTCGCAAAAACCCCTCTACAGAAAACAAATAAATAACATCAGTGTTTTTCTAAATGCCTGTCACGTCATTCGTTTTCAGAACACTCTGACTTTCCAAACATACTCTTAGAAGTTGTGATTTTAAATGACTGCACTTTGCACAATTTCCAGCACTGCACTATAGGTACAGGGTTATCCACAAAGGATGAGACTTCAGAGACGATTGTACGAAATTTGTTTGGTCCGTTTTCTTGCATGTAGGGTTCCATGTAGGCCAATATTGATTAACTTCTGTGCTTAATAATTTAGAAAACAATAAAGTTACTCATTTGAATGGAAAAACCAAATATTATGCTTCAAATCGTCATATTTTTAGAGTTTTCAGTCTTATCTTTGTGGGTGGCCCTTTAAGTACTGGCAAATACTTTTAAATATTAAAATCAGTGGAAAAATGTGAAAAAGAACTCTCTCCTTATTATAAACTAGCTGAAGGGCCAGGCGTTGCCCGTGGGAATAAAAATAAATAGAAAAAATAAATAATAAAAAAATTGGAACGAAAAAATGTCAAATTGTTTAGCCTAAGACACTCCCCAGGCTACCCATGAGTGTCCACAAAAAATTTCAGCCCAATCGGTCCAGCCGTTTGGCCGCTATGGGCAACATATATATATATATATAAGAATGTCTTGTTTTATATTATAAAAAAGAAAACTTTTAAAGTTTTCTTCTAGACTGTGGCCATATTATTAATAAAAAATAGTTAATTATTCTTGAAGTTTTCTTGATATGTTTAAAAGTTTTTTTTGCAATGTAGAAACAGATGGATTCAAGGTTTGCCTTTAAAAAATATACACAAATTGAGGGTCATACATATAGTTGAAAACTGAATATCCATCATTATTTTAAACTTGCTGAAGTGCCAATGGAATTTTAAAAAACCCTGAGAAAAAAATTGAGTCCATATCAGGCATACAGCTGTACGATGCAGTTTCACTGAAAAACGGTTGAAGAATTGTTTAAATTCACTTGTGCCAAAATGTTTATTTATCAATGAAATAAATCAGTATATATATACATATGATCGCGTGAAGAGCTTTATTATATAGATACACAGGATATAATATACAGTATAATGTAAACCAAACAAATAAAATATTTTATGTAAATTATTGTGGTTTAATTTTTATCCCTAAAACTATTTATGAATCATGAGATCAATTTAATCAATTCTGAAATTCCCTCTGATTTATTTATTTTCCCCAAACTGTGGACTGTTTCCTCTGTTCTTAAATAGCCAGGATATGAGCCATGGGAAATTAGATCTTTAAACAAAATTGCAGTTTTAACCTTTTATAAATATTTAGTCTCAACTCATTTCTCCGGTATAGACATTACTTCATTTTTCAACAATTAACATCACCTTGGGGACTATTCCCAGCGAACAAGAGTAGACTTTTATTGTCGAGTTTCAGTCGACTATTATAGTCGATTTTAAGTCAGTTTTAAAGTCGAGAAAAAGTTGACTTACAAAGTCGATCGAGTTAAGGGATGATAAATCGTATTTTTCAAGACTTTTTGTATCAAGATTATGTACTAGTTGTTAAAAGTTGACTTATTTCCAATTTTATGTCGAATTTTTTTTAACATGTTTTAAACGGTATACAGAATATGTGACGCCATTTACGGATTTCACTGTTCATTACTTAGGAGACGACATTTACCGTACATTGGAGCGCATCTAGATCAAGCAACCTTGCATATTAAACTTATAGTCTAGATCTGTACTATTGTATTGCTGATCTGATCTGTAATATTGTAATACTGATCTGATCTGTAATATTGTAATACTGATCTGATCTGTAATATTGTAATACTGATCTAATCTGTAATATGTAAATGTAGATCTCATTTGTAATATTGTAAAGCTGATGTTTTCTGTACAATTTTAATGCTGATCTTATCTGTAATATTGTAATGCTAATCTGATCTGTATTATTGTAATGAAAATCTGATCTGCGCTATTGTAATGCTAATCTGAAGTGTCATATTGTACTGCTAATCTGATCTGTAATATTGTAATGCTAATCTTATCTGTAATATTGTAATTCTCATCTGAATTGTAATATTGTAATGCTAATCTGATCTGTAATATTGTAATTCTCATCTGAATTGTAATATTGTAATGCTAATCTGATCTGTAATATTGTAATGCTAATCTGATCTGTAATATTGTAATTCTCATCTGAATTGTAATATTGTAATGTGTAATATTGTAATGCTAATCTGATCTGTAATATTGTAATGCCGATATATTTGTTAATAAGGAAGTGCTGGTTTGATTAGTATTATCGTAAGTCTAATCTAATCAGATCAGTAGTATTTTCAGGTGGAGCTGATCTGTTTTCTGCAACCCCTACCTGAAGAATAAGTCCTGGGTAGCTTACATCATAATAATCAGTAGAGTAGGAATCCATCAGCTTTACCCTAAAATTAAAGAATTAAATGATCTAAGATTTCTTACGGAGGAATGCTTCTTGTTTAGCAAGCTCACCATGGAAAATATGATTTGGAAGGGCAATTTGGCAAATTATCCAATTGCTGTAATATACAACACATCATTACATGTTGACCTTTGAAAGTAGTTAGTAAAGGATTAGTGTACATTATCACGTTTTATAACCTCGTTAACATCGTTTGCTAGCCCACACTGTAAGAATTGTTTTTAAAGCGATTTAGATTATTTACCATAAATAATGCTTTGCATTTACCTAAAATACATAGATTAAAGTTTTGTTTACCTAAAATACATACAGAGCGTCCCATATCATATTAGATTATTAACAATTTTTAACGCCAAAATACGCACATAATACGCGAAAAATCTAGCATTTTCTGCCAACAAAATTTTCTATTAGCCTTTTTTAAAATGATTCATTCTTCTTAAATTTTCTGAATTGTCCCCCAAATCGTAAGTTAGATCCATTGACGCGGTCTAATTTGATGTGAGACACCCTGTAGATTAAAGTTTTGTTTACCTAATATACATAGATTAAAGTTTTGTTTACCTAAAATACATAGATTAAAGTTTTGTTTACCTAAAATACATAGATTAAAGTTTTGTTTACCTAAATACATAGATTAAAGTTTTGTTTACCTAAAATACATAGATTAAAGTTTTGTTTACCTAAAATGAAACTGGGCCAAAGTAATATTTTGATTTACATCCATACTGTTAGGAATCCAGCCTAGTTGTATCTAAACATTATACGTCTGTAAAACAAGCAGGAATCCAAAAGAAAATTTCAAATTTTAAAATTTGAATTTTAATCAAATGAATGCGTATTCATATACTTTTAAAATGTCAGTGAAATTACCGCCCCCCCTTCAGAAAACCTCATTATAGTTCCCAATTATTACTTTATTTCCTGGACACCCTGTACTGCAGAAACCCTACCTGGTTAGATTGTAAACCGAAGGATTCGAATTTGATCTCGCAATACTGCTCGTCAACCGGGTAACGATGAAAGTCCATATTACAAGCAACATCGAAATTGATCCTAGAGAAATTGATCAGAATATAAAGATGTAGATCGAGGAGTTTATCCTAGAGAAATTGATCAGAATATAAAGATGTAGTTTATCTGAGAACAAAGTTGTTTTGGAAGAATTTTACACTAGCGATATTGATCATGTAATGAATCGATTATTGAATAATTTCCTAATTGATCTAGGAAGAATTGATCTTTTGTGCTTTATTCTTGTAAGAAAATGGTCTTTTAGAAATTGATCTCAAAGAAATAGATTATAAATGTTCCCAGGCAAATAGTCCTATTAATAAATTGAACATTTTGAAATTTGACTCTGATAGATTTTAATCTTAAGATATAGAAAATTTCAAATTAATAATTAACCAATTTGATTAATAAAAAATGCAAAATATCTATGACGCATTTGATTTTTTGACATATTATTTTACCTTGAAGCTAAAACAAGAATGCGCTACACAGGCACCTCTGACCCTTTAGTAAAAGTAAATTCAACCTAAAGTCTGACCGCGTCGACCTTGTACAAACTGGGACCGGAAAGGTTGACCCGGCTCGGAAATTCAAATGTAGTACGGCTGCCCGTGTATAATATACAGGGAGAACTAGAAAACTCTGGAATAAAAAAACGAATTTAAAACTAAAATTATGACAAATTAAACGGTCAAATAAACATGAGACACAACAACTTTGCACTGGATACATACAATACAGACCCATTTCATCTTTACTAGTAAAACTATTATTATTATTATTATTATTAAATAAACTTAATAATAGCTTTAATGTCGTCTTCCTATTCCGCGGTTTTCTGGTTGTAGTAAAGTGTAAATACAATTATCGTTACCTGGAAGAGTATCTGATGAGGCTGTCATTATAAACCCTAGGGCAAATAAATATACTGTTTTCTTTTTTTCACTATAAAAGATCGAAAACTTTTCGACTTTTGCAGAAAATGTGAAAATTTATTTAATTTTCCACCTTTTCCAATATTTTGATAAAATATTTATTTCCCTGAGTGAGGCAGGTTGGATAAAATAAGAAGGAGCTCGCAATACTTTAGCTTGATCTGTAATAACAAACTTGTTATTATTTTATGTGTCCTTCCATTCCCCAGTTCACAATGGTACATTTGACGTATGCGACATTTGATATTTCATTAAATTTGTTATTCACAAGGAAACTTCTTATTCGTTATTAATTTAATAGAAAATCGTATCTTCATTCAAGAAAAAACCCGTAAATCCGGAGTTTATATACGCCAGCCTACTCAGTGAACTCAACGCGGCTAAAAACTCTTAGAAAATCTAGAATATTCTATAAACACCGCGGATTAAACAAATTTAAAGATTAATATTTCTAGAAGGTAAATATTAGTATTCCTTAAATATAAAACAGGTTGCAAACAAATTGTTCAACAATTACAAGTGTTGAAAAAATGTTACTTTGACATAAAATCTACGGTTCTTTGGAAAATTATTTAGTTAATTTTGACAGTTAGTTTTGCTTAGTCTGGCCCATAGAAACTTTAAGGGTTACGGCTTAACTTTGTTCCTAATAAAAAATTGTAAAGTTTCGAATATATATCCAATTTAATTCTTCTATAATATATTGGCTTTATACTGAATATTCTGATTTATAAATTTGATAATTATTGCCTTGTTTGTGTGAAGTAAACATTTTACCAATAAATATATCAGGCATCCAAATTTTAGAAGCTAGGGAAGGATTCAAGGTTGTATAGTTCCCCATACTATCAAAACTCTCCAAATACTCGGCCTAAACATTCATTTAACTTCTAATATTTTCATATCTACAGGCTACAAAGAAATGTCATAATCATACAGGTTGTCCCAAAAAACATCGAATGATCATTGAATGGTGTGAAAAAAAATATTGTCAAAATGTAGTAAAGTGATGATTTAGTTAGAAATATCATTTAACCCATTTTCTAATAAAGAATGGCACATCTATTATCTACATTGTATTCTTTAAAGCATCATCTGCACTGCTGATGCCACTTTTTCAAGGAAGAGTTACATCCAAAGAGAATAGAATATATATTAGAGTGGAATTTAGAAAATCCCTCGGTATGAATTTTGTCAGTCCCTTTCAGCCTGAAAGGGAGTTCCATTTCAATTTTTTAAAGCTGTTAAATAAACATTATAAAATGAATTAGGGAATAAAAATTTGATTTATAGTTATAACGGAAAATCATCGTTTGTAAAGTGAAAGGCATCGACTCTATGTGAAATGATCATTGGTCAATTATGAAACCAGCCTATTTCATAATTTGGGTTTCTTTTAATATTAATTTTAGATTTTCTATAAAATGATGTTCCAGGGCCCAAAAGGTTATATAGCATAAATATGTGAAGTACACCTGCAGTATGGAAACAGTACAAGAAAAAGGCCGTTTTACACTTTTTCCTTGTAAATTCCACTCTAATATATATTCTTTTCTCTTTGGTTACATCAAAATACGTAAAAATGAAATGAAAACTTTATTTTAGTCGACGTACCTTAGGACTTATTCTAGGATCCTTCCAGTATAATCTAGAATAAAATTATATTTTAAGAAAAACTAGAAATCTAAAGGACCAAGGCCTTTTAAAGCGACTAAAATTCATTAATTTTTTTATAACATTCATAGTTTTCTGCAGTTTATCTTAATAAATCATTAATACCAAAAAAAGATTGCATTATGAAAGAAACTTGAATTTAATCTTCATATAATTTTATCCTAACAGTCGGCATTCAAGTTTCATCCTAAACTCTGTATACACAATACACAATTTTACATAGAGATTTTTTATATAACATGTTTACTTTTTATATTCGTGGTAAAAACAATGTTTTAAAAATATTAATTCTAAAACATGCTTCATTTAAACTATGTCTGTTTGTAGTGATTTCTGATATTTTCAGTTTAAATATTTCCCCCTCCATCTCCCTTCCTTGTTACCTTTAAAATGTGAAAAGAAAGCACTTCAGTGCGCGGTAGAAAATAGAAAAGTAAAAAAAGGTCATTTTCAGTAATTGCATTCTTTGTCTCGGAGCTGAAGTTCGGACATTTGTTTAACAAAGTGTCCAGTTATAAAATATTCACAGAGAATTTCGGGTTGGATTAATCCACACTCCAGGGGGGTCGAAAATATTTTCCAAAAGTTTTAGGATCAAATGATGTAAATATTGTCTCTACTATCCCTTCTGTATATATCTAATAAACCCTCTATACATATACCTGAGTGTTGTCTCCAATGATACAATCTGAGCTTTTTCATCCACATCCAAAATATTTCTAAAAAAGGGAGCAAATTCTTTCCTTCTTTTTCTTTACTTTCATCCCTTTATTTTATTCAATTATTAAAAATTCACTGATTCTTAAGATTTAAAAAATCAATGATTTTTAAGATTAAAAAATGTTGGTTGCAAAGTTTTTTTTTGCTAATATTTTGTGGGAAAAAGTAATACCTGAGATTTATGGAAGCAGTAATTTTTAACGGTCCCTTGGAATATGGACGTTCATGCAGATTGTAATTAGGTGAAACATTCAGCTGTAAAAAAAATATAATGAGGGTCTAACTTTAACTGTAATTAAATCGTTAGTGGGACCAACATTTAGGTTTAAAGATCCCGAATGAGGTCAGCATTAAGTTACAATTTACCTAAAACAAACCTGTAATTAAGGCCTACATGGAGCTGTAATTAAACTGGAAGTTTTTACATGAAGATGTAATTAAACGGTAATAAGTATTTACATGAAGATGTAATTAAACGGTAATAAGTATTTACATGAGCTATAATTAAACGGTAATAAGGATCGACATGAAGATGTAATTAAACGGTAATAAGGATCGACATGAAGATGTAATTAAACGGTAATAAGGATCGACCATCAACGGCAATTAATCTGTTATCTAAACTGTAATTAAGGTAAATTTCCAGCTGCAAAGTTAGAGTTTACATTAATTATTCCGCTTAAAAGTGATAATCAGAAATCAGCTGCACTGCAATTAAACTGTTATTAGGTGTTAACATTAATTAAATATTAGTTTCTTTTATTCCTCCTTATTAATGTTTGGATTTTACACTCTTAGATCAAAATTGTCTTCTTTTATGAATCTTTAATTTTTTAAAAGATGAATTATTTTAGTATTTGGTGGTATTATAATCAGATTTAGTCCATAATACTCTACATTGGCCTGGCCCGCTGGGTTATTCAAAAAGCAAGAATTTGAATCTTTATACTATGTGGAGGGGAGACCTCTATTGTCTGAACAATTAATGACGAAATTAGAGATTTAACACATGCTTCAAAATCGGTTCTACATACACAATTTTACCACGTATAGTCTAACTTCTCTACGTGGGGGAGAGAACTATAACTAAATATGCTACTCTAATGTGAGGATATAAGAAACTCTACTCTGCATGTACTACAATATTGGTACCTGAACTACATCTGGGGATTTGATATCAAGTATCCCAAAGCTGAGATTCTGAATATGTACAGTTTGACATATGGTTCCACAAAGTGGAGAGTAGATAATGAGCAAAAATGTTTTATCACTCTATATTCTAACAAATTATACTCTCAAAAGAACATCTAAGTTAGCGCCCAATTATTTTAAGGTCAGAACTGACAAAGACAGTTTGATCTTTGAATAGGTAATGTTCATCCGTCCTATTGCCAATCATTATACTGCACATCCTCCCTTCTGCAACATCCAACCTACGGCAGCTGTTTATTTTTGTATTATTTGAGGGATAGGTTAAGTTAAGAGAATTTCTGGGCTGAGCGCTGCGGATAAGACGGGCTAGGGGGCCGAGCGCCGTGACTAGGACAGGCTAGGGGGCTGGGCGTTGCGGCCAGAAGTCCATCTAGCAGCTGTAAAACCACGTGCTAGTAAGGTCGGATGGGCATTAGGACGGATGGGCGTAGGTCCAGAAACACACCATCTTTTGAATAATGTATAGATCGAGACGGCAACCGGAGTGTTTCCCACATTTTTCTGTGAAGACAGGAACATTTTCAGGTATGCACAGATCCGTTTGCACATTCTTAACACGGTGCATTGTTCAAACCCAGCTTGTTTCAATCCTTTGCATTATTTTGTATGCATGTCTTTGAGTGTTATCTTTTAACTAATTATAGTCAACTTATCTTTGTTCATCATGATGAACTCAAGCATAGCAGTGTATTAATTATATGGAATGATTTTCTAATCAAGAATTGAGGGATATCTTGATAACCTTAGTGTACAAAAGTTAATCTTACATTAGAGGGGTCTATCAACAACCTTTTTATTGAGGTAACAACTGTCGCCCTACCAATCCTAACTTAGTTACAGGGTTAACAAAAATGAGCAATGCATTTTACTGAGAACAGTGGTAAAACTTTTATTCCACAACACTTGAAAAAATAATGGAAATGTTTAAACCAGGATTAAAATAAAAATCTTGATAAATGAAGACGACATTCATAAATATTCTCGGGATTTATTTTTAACCATCTTTACTCCTGTTTAATAGTTTCTTTCAGAAAACATGTTTTTGGAAACAGGGTCATTGAACATATGTCAAATGAAAAAAAAAATTATATTGTCATGATGGCTTGTTCAAGTTCCCCATTCTGTACATTTACTTTTACAGACTTTAATCAGTTTCCGCAATGATAACGTTAAATCGGAACTTAATTCTGTTAACAACAGCCTTCTCTCACATACTTTAATCATAGATTAGAGATATATTTCATATTCTGGGCTTTCAACTATTAACACTTTACCTTAAATTAAGGAATTGAGCTTTCGCAACAAACAAAATTTGTAATCCCTATATCTTTGCAACCTGATTCCAAGAATTAGAAAATCAGAGTTTGTTGGCAAAGGCTCGATTTCTTTGTTAAAAATAGCTTGTTACAAACATCCTTCTGCAGTGCCTAATATCTTCATGAAAAATGAAAAACGAGAAAACATACAAAACATAAACTTCTCAAACAAATATGCAAAAAAACATGCGACATCTTAACTCACAAAGATTCCCTCTAGACTGAAATCTGTCTGCAAACACAAAAATATGTAAATACAGTTATAAATATACAATGAAAATATGTAAATACAGTTTTAAATATACAATGAAAATATGTAAATACAGCTATAAATATAACATGAAATAGAAATGTATCTTGAATTGAACCGGAGTCTAATATCTCGTTCGAGCAAAAAAGTTTTGTTTTGGAAAAGTTACTTGAACCAGCCGTATCTAGTTCAAGTGCTATTTCTAACCCACTCTTAAAATTCTGCAGTGAGAACAAGAAATATGGGAATAGGAAGACGACATTATGAACATATTTAAGGTTATTTGATATTGTTACAAAGCAAATAGTTTTACTATAGCTTAAAAATCACTTTTTTACAGTAAAATGCTCTGTGCTTCTGTGTTTCATGATCAATGGAGTATTTAAAAGGGAGTGTTCGCGAAAAATGAAAGGGCGAAAAATTATAGATACTGATTGCTACTAATCTTACTTCTATTTGTTGCGTCTATAATGATAAAGTTGTTAAAAACGACTCATACCTAAGAACGTGGTGTTCATACAAATTCCGAATTCGTTTATAGTTGATATTTCATAATATTTTAGATGTTTAAAAATAATATTTAGCTTACAACTTGACTTCACGGCTGGCGCTGGATTTTCGAATATTCCTGGAAAATATGAAACTGTCGTCTTCGTTATAAAAAATCCTTGAAAGAGGAATGACTGTTTTCAAAAGTAACTCTCAGATCATAAAAAATTAAAAAAATATTATGAAATATCAAATATATACGAATGCGTCTAAAAATTATCAATGATTATAGGTTGTAATATCTGAATAATTTGTTTGGAATTAAATGTTGCAACTTTCTAAATTTGTTTGGACGCGCTACGTTCTTCGGTGTGAGTCGATTTTAACAAATTTCTTCTTATACATGCAACAGATAGAATTAATATTAGCAGCGATCACCACCATCACCATCACAATTTATGGCCGTAAGCCTATACCCCTTTTCATTTTTCGCGAACACTCCCTTTAAATCATAACGTAAATTTAAAGCCGTCTTCGTTATACCAAATATTTCTGGTTAGCATTATAGCTCAAATTATCAATTCAAAAGATATCAAACTCTACCAAAACTAATTCTCAAATGCAAATTTTATTCCTGCTGGATCCACTCTACTATTAGACTTATTACAAAGTGTAATTTAAATTTGTAAAGATATTAAAGATTTGTATTAGATGTTGTTAAAAAGCAAATAGGTTCACCAGTTGCTGAAAAGAACACTAATTAAGTGAACAGTGTGCAATTGGTGTATTTTATGTTCATAAAATCAAAAATCATAACTTGAGCCTAACCAAATTCCGAATTCGTTTATAGTTGATATTGAGCCTAACCAAATTCCGAATTCGTTTATAGTTGATATTACATAATATTTTAGATGTTTAAAAATAATATTTAGCTTACAACTTGACTTCACGGCTGGCGCTGGATTTTCGAATATTCCTGGAAAATATGAAACTGTCGTCTTCGTTATAAAAAATCCTTGAAAGAGGAATGACTGTTTTCAAAAGTAACTCTCAGATCATAAAAAATTAAAAAAATATTATGAAATATCAAATATATACGAATGCGTCTAAAAATTATCAATGATTATAGGTTGTAATATCTGAATAATTTGTTTGGAATTAAATGTTGCAACTTTCTAAATTTGTTTGGACGCGCTACGTTCTTCGGTGTGAGTCGATTTTAACAAATTTCTTCTTATACATGCAACAGATAGAATTAATATTAGCAGCGATCACCACCATCACCATCACAATTTATGGCCGTAAGCCTATACCCCTTTTCATTTTTCGCGAACACTCCCTTTAAATAATAACGTAAATTTAAAGCCGTCTTCGTTATACCAAATATTTCTGGTTAGCATTATAGCTCAAATTATCAATTCAAAAGATATCAAACTCTACCAAAACTAATTCTCAAATGCAAATTTTATTCCTGCTGGATCCACTCTACTATTAGACTTATTACAAAGTGTAATTTAAATTTGTAAAGATATTAAAGATTTGTATTAGATGTTGTTAAAAAGCAAATAGGTTCACCAGTTGCTGAAAAGAACACTAATTAAGTGAACAGTGTGCAATTGGTGTATTTTATGTTCATAAAATCAAAAATCATAACTTGAGCCTAACCATGGTCTTTTTATTCCACAGTTTTATGGGACTCGCTGTACACGTTCTGTGATTAACTTGTAATACTATTAAACAAAAATATATGTTTATATGTCAAATATAATTTTAATTATCGCATTCACATTATGAGACCGGTTAGAAATGTGCTCTAATATGTTTCAATCTATAAACTAAACTATATGTTGAACTACTAGCTATCAACATAGAGAAATATGTTTCAGTACATAAACTAAACTATATGTTGAAGTACTAGCTAGCAACATAGAGAAATATACTCTAATATGTTTCAGTATATAAACTAAACTATGTGTTGAACTACTTACAACATAGAGATATATGCTCTAATAGGTTTCAGTATATAAACTAAACTACATGTTGAACTACTAGCAACATAGAGAAATATGCTCTTATATGTTTCAATATATAAACTAAACTATATTTTGAACTACTAGCAACATAGAGAAATAGGCTCTAATATGTTTCAGTTTATAAACTAAACTATATGTTGAACTACTAGCTAGCAACATAGAGAAATATGCTATAATATGTTTCAGTTTATAAACTAAACTATATGTTGAACTACTAGCTAGCAACATAGAGATATATGCTCTAATATGTTTCAGTATATAAACTAAACTATATGTTGAACTACTAGCTAGCAACATAGAGAAATATGCTCTAATATGTTTCAGTATATAAACTAAACTATATGTTGAGCTACTAGAAACATAGAGAAATATGCTTTAATATGTTTCAGTATATAAACTAAACAATATGTTGAACTACTAGCAACATAGAGAAATATGCTCTAATATGTTTCAATATATATACTATACAATTTGTTGAACTACTAGCAACATAGAGAAATATGCTCTAATATGTTTTAGTGTATAAAACTAAACTAGCAACATATAGAAACTATTGAATAAGCTGGGGTTCATCTTGAAAACACCATGTAACTTTTGAGGTTAAATATAAACAGTTCAAAATAAAATAAAAATACATTTAAACGAATCAAACATCTAACCTGAAAATGTTCAGCAGATTCGCACAAAGGTACGAGAATTGTTGTTATTAAACATAGAGCATTATATTTGTACATAGTGTCTGATGTCGTGGTAAAAAGTAGTATTTAAAGCATTTTCCTCTCTCTAAATCATTAGATTTTAAAATTAATATATTTTTCAATGGGAAGAAGTGTACATAATATTATTGGATATGGTCTGGGAAGAAGTGTACATAATATTATTGGATATGGTCTAGACAAAGAAGAAATAGTTCATAGCATTAAAAAAAGACAATTGATGGTTGATAATAAACGATAAATGATGAGATGACATGCTCTAATTATTCCAATACAAAATCTTGTTTGTTTTATTGTATTTTATTATGTATTTTCTGACCAATTATGTAAAATGTTGCAAAGATTGTATACTTGTTGTTAAGATAGTTGACTAACAATTGAATAATTTGTAAGTAATTGCATAAAGGAATTGAGTCTTTGCCACAAACTCTGATTTCTAATCTTTTTATTTTGCATTGGACATGTTGATTCCTGTTATATGAAAACAAAAGTTTTAAATATCATTAATTTACACCATCAGGTTGCAAAGATATAGGGATATTGGGATTAGAACATTTTTAGTTTGTGGCAAAGAATCAATTCCTTTTGTAATAGTAATGTATTCATGTTCTTAAAGAAATTATTATGTAATTTGTATTGATCNTATATGTTCAAAACATGTCTATATGTTCAAAACATGTCTATATGTTCAAAACATGTCTATATGTTCAAAACATGTTTATATGTTCAAAACATGTCTATATGTTCAAAACATGTCTATATGTTCAAAACATGTATATATGTTCAAAACATGTATATATGTTCAAAACATGTCTATATGTTCTAAACATGTATATATGTTCAAAACATGTCTATATGTTCATATGTTCATATGGGAGGGGGGGGGGGAAAGTCAATGGAAAATAATTTTGGTAAAGGATGGGAGGGGGAAATAGTTTTTAGATGAACTTTAAATTTTGGCTGACTAAGTTGCTCCACAGGGAAAAAAGATTTTTTAAACCCATCGTTGCAAATTAAACTAAATAGACCAGAAGTTGCTCCCTCTCTTTAGTAGAGCCCCAAATTCTTCCAAGTGTCACAGTAAACCAAAAGTTGCAAATTCTCTCTCAAGAATTGATGAGAATTTGCCCAATTACTTCTTAAAATCTATAGCTATCAAAAAGTGCAAGTAAGTTAATGAGATAAATCAAAGGCCTAGGATTTGTGAAAATTTAAAATTGATCCAGTCTTTAAGATTTTTTAACAACCTGGATCTAGGGAGGGCACGTCCCCCCTCCCCCCTTGAAGCTGCAACTGAGTTCAGATTTACATGAAAAAGTGTCTGTGTATGTATGCATGTTTTAATATAAAATACTTGCTAATTTAAATTTTTCTCAAAGTTTATTCGAACAGACAAATCATGAATGATGCAATAATATTTTAACAATAGAACTGCGTCATTCTAGCAACATAACGGCGATACATTCGTCTAAATTAGTCTCTATTTACAATTGTAAAATTCCCAAAAGCACTGATAAAATGTTTAATAAAAAAATGGATTTCAGAAAGGAACAATATTCTTTAAATAATTCCAAAAGAATAGATATAAGGATGCTCCGGACGGGATTGGGGAGGGGGGGGGGGGTAATTATTGGCTATATCTTACATATTGGCTTTAAACAATCTTATCAGCATTTGATGCAGTTAAAAAAGCAAATAGTTTTTTGAAAAGCAACCTATAAAGTGAAATTGATATGTTTACACTGTCTTCTTCCTATTCCCATAAACTGTTGCATTGGAGGACGACATTTTTCAGTAATCTTATTTGTACTTGATATTGTTATACAACAAATAGTTTTAGTGGTGTGGAAATGCCACAAAAATATTTGCAAAGATTAAAGACGACATTTAAGTCGTCTTACTATTGTCAAATTTCGTGAGACACCCTGTATCTGAAATAAAATAAACCTTTTTTTACTAAGACGTTTGTTTAGATCCCTACCTGTAAAAATTAAATATGGTTTCTTTATAAAAGCTGGTTTCCTCCTAGGGGTTGAAGAATTTGTTAAAGGAGGACGAGAACGGTAATTATGCATAATCAACATAATCAAACATTGCTTGATGACTTTAAAGGGACTGTTACCAATGCCCGATTTTACACCTATCCCCTTAATAGCTTCGTTTGATCAAGTAATAATAATAAGAATAAATAAGATATCAAAGTTTTTAATTAAAAATAGAAAAAAAATTTTTATTTGATTCTCTTAGAAAGTGACTTGCGAATTTCTTGTTTTTCAGTTTTCAGTCAACACTTTTTTAATCAGAAAAACGACGTTGAAGACTTCCATTTTTTATCCGATTAAGGTTTCAAGGATTTCAAGGGTACCTTTTAAATCAGACATAGTCGTCTTTGCATGAGAGGTCACTTGTAATTACGCTTACAGTTTCTTTATAGGAATTGATGACGTAATATTAATCTTTTATAATATAAACAATTGATGTCAGTATTCCAAAATCTTTATTTTATATAAATACAATGACAATTTGGAAAAGAAGACATCTTACCCTACCCTTGTATTTATAAAATAGAAAAACAAGTGATACCCTGAAAACATAGATAAATAAATAAACAGAGATAGCTTATATACGCAAAATCACCAAGAATTGTGCAGTCCGCGAACTCATACTTCTAGGGGTCAAAGTGTACTTCAATGATAAGCGGGGTGGTTTGGTGTTTTAATGGATTTTATAATGAGTGTAAAATAACTCCGGGAATGGAACTATTTGAACAAAAATATTTCACTGAGCAATAATCAAACAATATCAGCGGCAATTTATAAAACAAGGTAGTTTTTGTGAAATCCTTGTATTTGTGATTTTATTGTATGCTTTAGAAAATATTGAAGAACTATTTAAAACAAAAATTAAAACAAAGAATTAAAATAATCTAAATATCTATTACATGCTATACTAACAGGTTAGGGCAGCTTCGTGTCATATCTTGTTGTTTTATTAAGTTAAATTTAATTTTAAATAGTTTTTCTTTTAGCGAGAGAATTCATTTATTTGACTGAAAAAATTGATATACAGAGGTGCGCAAAAACTCGTATATTATAGGACAGATCCTCATTAATTTGCATTTTTATGATAAAATGTAATGCTAAGGAATCGAGAGTTAACAAAATCTTCAAATCATGATGCCTTCAAAAATATTAGATAAGTCGTTTATAAAGGTCGTCTTTTACTCATTCCATCTTAGTGTAAACTTTTACAGAAAAACAACTCCAGAACAATGGAATGAATTAACATGTCAAAATTGTTGATTAAACGGTTCTTTAAACTATGACGGAGTCTGCTATGAAGAGATATATTTTGATATTTGTTTGGTTAAGCCAATAAATTTAAACAAAAAATAAAAACAACAAGTGGAGACCAAAATGCGGGGCGTGGAGACAGAATGGCGGGAGGCTTGGTGCCGTCACTGAGGCTGGGAGACCAGTTTTGCGGGGCCTGGAGGTGATTCTGCAAATCCTAAGGCTCGGAGGTCATTTTTGCGGGGATCATGGCGCCTCTGCACCCCCTCCCTCGTACACCACAAGCACTCAATGACATAAGAACAGCCAATGTTCACAACCGACCTAGGTAATCTATATAATAGGAATATCTTTAAAACATCTCTGTACATTTATATCTTTCAAGATGAAAAATGTCGTCTTATGCGCAATCTATCTTTAGCTATGCTTGAAAACAATAGAATAGCAATATCCTAAGCGTATTTTATGTTGTTACAAAGCAAATAGTTTTACTAGTAAATTTTTAAATCAATAAGTTAGTGATATTTGGCTGTTTAAACTCCAAAAGTTTCTTATTTAAACTTTAAAATTATTAAAATTTTTAAGAGCTTTCTTGTTATCACTGTAGTAACCATTATTTTTTAAATTTCGCTAAATATGTAGTTTAAAAATGTAATTTACATTTGAAAAAAAATGTAAGCCAATTTTGTTCATGTCTTTGTACGTTCGGTTATACAAATTTGGACTTTTTTCCAAAATATTTTTTTGATTACGACTTTAATAGACAGATGTTCCTAGGTACTTGAAGTTTTGGTGTAAGGGTTTTTTGAGCCAGCCCGGCTATATTTCACATAAGTTCAGCCCAGCCCGCCTAATTTTGCTGCATAAACACGCTGGGTCAACCCAAATAGATTATCAAGTACAATAGGTGGCAACAGAGAAATAGATTATCAAGTACAATAGGTGGCAACAGAGAAATAGATTATCAAGTACAATAGGTGGCAACAGAGAAATGGATCAATTATACACGACGTCACAAGTGTCATATATAACAAAGAAAGCGGCATTTTCTCACATTAATTGACATGTTTTTCAAAATTAATTAAAAAAGTGTACACATAAAATTGCACCTTTTTCACTGTAAGATAAGCTCTTTATTCTAAAATTATCACTTTTATTAATAATTTTGTCGGACACAATACTGAGAGTGTACAGCTGTACTGAGAGTGTACAAATACTACGTTGCCATCTATTGTACTTAACAATCTATTTGGGTCAACCACATACTTGGTATGTACACTAGACGGTCTGGGACAAGTTATACCAGACCGGTCAATCCTTGTACTGGTTCGGATCAATCCTTGTACAGGTCAACCACATACTCGGTATGTACACTAGACGGGCTGGGACAAGCTTTACACCAGACCGGTCAATCCTTGTACTGGTTCGGATCATCCAATAATCGGGCTCATGTTCTCACTCTCGGAGGTGTTAAAGCTCCAAAGATATCAATAAATCTTTTTTATCTAAAGTGACTTTTTTCCTCTTCGAAATCCATTATTTCATTGATTTCGTTTGAATTGTATTTTAAGTCCCAGTTCTTTCTGTAACTAGTTCAGAAAAAGGAAATAAAGATAAAATAAAACAATATAAAAGAATGAGATTGAATTGTATGCATTTTCTATTAACAGTTAGTTATAAAAAACTTTTGACAAAATTTGTTTCTTTTAAATTTTTTTTTTGTTTAAAATAAGGTAAAAATAACTTAAAAGTTAGAATAATGCTCTAGAATAAAATAAAAAATGGCGTCAAACTTATTTTTTCCTGGACTCCCGTTAATTAGTTTCTGCAAAATTGAGTTCCAATACAGTCAATCTAGATTCTCTAGACTTTATAGACACTAAAATGATAATTCTATAAAATAACATATTACATTTTATTTCTACCACATAATACATTTAGCACAGGTTAAATATGTATAAATAGTTATAATTTTGTCTTGCTTCTACTTTAAGTGTAGACTTAAAGTACATATAAAAAATAATTAATGAAATATTAAAAATAATGTCAATTAGGTTTTACTGGCCCTTTGTACAATTTACGATCGGCCGAAATTTTAACAACTGATTCGGCTATATATATATATATATATATATACAGGCGGGGGGAGTAAAAAAAAAGTGTGATTTGGGGCGCCTGGTGCAACATTGTACCTTTTTTTGTGCAACTCTCCTGAATGGTGTTTTTTTCAATATTTTTTGAAAATTTGTAATTTTTTGGAGTAATGACCCTAAAAAAAATCCGCAAACTGTTTTTTTCTCTCAAAATCAAAAGTTTAGAAAAACAAAAATGTGTAAATAAATTATTTCCATCGAAATCTAAAATTTTAAAAAGATTGAATCACAGAATCACAGAAAATTTGCAAAATTGTAATGAGTAAATTCGCAATTTTCAGTTCTGGTCTAATTTTTACGGAAAATTTGTTCTTCAATGGTTTTTAAGGTTTCAACTGAACAGCTTATATTTAATACTTAAGAATATACTAAGAAGAAAGGAACTAAAAAATTTGAATTACTTTTCCTTAAAAATTAGACCAGAACTAAAAATTGCGAATTTTCTCATTACAATTTTGCGAATTTTCTGTGATTCTGTGATTCAATCTTTTTAAAATTTTAGATTTCGATCAAAATTATTTATATACACATTTTGCTTTGCTGAACTTTTGATTTTGATAAAGAAAAAGGTTCGCGGATTTTTTTTGGACGATTGGAGTACCAAAAAAGTTATAAATTTTCAAAAAATATTGAAAAAACACCATACAGGACAGTTGCGCAAAAAAGGTACAATTTTGCACCAGGCGCCGCAATCACACTTTTTTTTTGGCTCACCCTGTATATATATATATGTATAGAGCAAGAAAGACAAATCAGGAAATCTCATAAAGCTTTGTTAAAAAGAACTGCAGGTTCTGGCAGCAATATAAACAAACTCCGTGCTTTTGAGGCTTGTTATGTCAAAATACGAAATGAGTTTTGCCCCAAACCATAATTTTCTAATCCTTGCAACCTATTTCAATCTTAGACATTTTGATCTGACATAATTCATAAGTTTAAATATATTTAAGGTCTACGACATCAGGTTTAAAAGATATGGATTAAAAGATTACAGTTTGTGGCAAAAACTCATTTTACACGTTTTTGTGAACAAACATATAGTGTTTCATAATATACAGGGTTACCCACAAAGAATAAGACTGCAAAGACGACCCAAAACTATAATAATAAGACGACGATTAGAAGCTTGATTTTTGGTTTCTGAATTCAATTGAGTATTTTGCTTGTTTACTAAATAATTAAGCAAATAAATGATCCAGCTAGTTTTGGCCTACATTGAACCCTGAATGCAAGAAAACAGACTAAACAAATTCCGTACAGTCGTTACTGAAGTTTCATCCTTTGTGGGTAACCCTGTATCTTGTCGACATGCAGTACATATCCTCGATTAATTAGAAACTTTTCTCAACGGTTTATGCAGTACATTATAATACAGCAGTAAATATGTCTTGTACATGACCATGTACAGTTATACATTGTTCTGTACACAATACACGATGTTTACAAATGTTTGAATTCATCAAAAAGTTCTTGGCAAACTGAATAAAAAAGTTAAGACACTTTGTGCCTAAAAAGTCTTTTAAGCCAAAAAATTTCTACTGTCCCCCAAACTAAAAAACAAGATTACTGAAAATTAAAATTAATACCTTTGACAGCTTCTTCTGCAATGTTTTCATGGAGAAATGTAAGAAAATGTATTTGAATTGCATAATCACAATCAAAATTGCAATACTTTTTTACATTTTCATCGTCCAATAGATTTTATACATTTAGAGAAAAGCCAAATCAATTTGAAGTATAAGTTGAGTTTATTTTAAACAGCCTCAATGTTCAGTTTGGTAGCGTTTAGAATTATTTCGCCAGTTCTAAAAACCGGTTTTATAATTTATTTGTATTCAATTTATTGGGTAAAAACAATATTTTTGCTGTTGACTCGTTTTCGTGTTTTCGAGTAAATGCGAGGTAAAAGATAAAACCGGTTCCTAATATTTCTTGTACTCCCTTCCAGGTCAATCGTGTCTGCTTCATTTAAACTAATTGGCACAGTTTCAGTTTTATATTTATATATATCTATATATTTGTTATCATTAGGCTATCAGTGGGCTTCACTCCCATATTCTATTTGAACTTTTAGACCATTTTCTCTTCGATAACACAATAACAACATTTCTTGTGAATTTACATTTTCTTGTTGATCTTCAAAATTTTACGAAAATCCAAAAATTTTGGGAACAATTTTTTGTAATTCAGAGCATCCATAAACCTTCTCTGGGGGGTATGTGAGGTCCCATAACCGATTGGTTCAGACGTTTAATGACGTTTATAGGTTACAAACAAACAAACAGACAAGAAAAGTATATATATTGATCATTTAAAATTATGATGATTAGTCTTTTGTTATTTTTTTAGCTTCAAAATTAGCCGATACGATTATTTTTGTTTGGTTGCAAAGCCAAAACTTAATGATGTTTTCAATATATGTTTGTACATATACCTATTTAGGTATTATTTATATTTGAATTTTAAAAATTCTAGAGTTTTTGAGAGTACAATTTTGCACATTTTCGTTTCTTTAAAGTCCAGTAGTAAGCATATGAAAGTGTTACGAGCAGAAGCAAATTTTACTGCAAAAATACAAAATTCTGCGAAGATTTTCTTGCTACTTTGCTTAATTTGCACGCCACTATTTTTTCATTTCACTCTGGAACCCCTATTCAAAATTAATAGTTTTTTTTCAATGCTTAATATCTAAAAAGATGATTAGCTGTCTGTTTTTTCCTTTGTGAGCTTAAAAGTCTTTAATTTAAAATGTTTTTTTTATGAAAATGTATCTGGGGTAAGTTCTGATTGGTCTTCAACTGTCTAAGTTTGATTGGTTAAAACTGTTTGCTGTCTGATCTCTGATTGGTTGTTAAAAAAACTATCTGCATTCTTATTGGTTAAAAACTGTCTGAGTTCTGATAGGTTCAAACGATATCTGAGTTCAAATTTGTTAAACACTATCTAAAATCTAATTGGTTTAAAACTATCTAAGTTCTAATTGGTTTAAAAACTATCTGAGTTCTTATTGCTTTAAAAGCTATATGATTTCTAATTGGTTTAAAAACTATCTGAGTTTTAATTGGTTTAAAACTATTTGATTTCTAATTGTTTGAAACTGGTTCCTAAATGCAGAAGATGATGAGGAAGAGAGAGAATCAGGTTGCTTTGCTTGTCTAGAAACAAATAAAGATATTTCATTTTTAATATTTATCCAAACTTGGATGGAAATAATTTATATCAAAAGCAACATTTATTTTTAGTAACATTGGTCAATCTTTGTAAATTTAACTTTTTTAAAATTTGAACATGCACATCGTCTTAAATGGTTACATCGGATATGCAGTGCACACCTCAAAAAAATTGGACCTTTATCTTACTGGGATCAGCTACAATGTAGAAATTGAGTGTTGTCGCTACGGGGCGATATTAAAATTCAATTGACTATATTTATATATATTCTATGATATATATTCACTTCATAACAAAACAAAATCATATCAGGAAATAAATACAGATTCTATAGGTACTTCTTGTAAGTTCAGTTCTAATTGAGACATATTCTTTTAATTCAGTTTTCTATGCTCATAAGCCAACAATAGCATATCAGGCGTTGGTGCTGATAATGAGATGTATCAACAAAGCAGTTCATAGCTAGGAGGTAAATCAAGGTAGTTCATAGTTATGATGACTAGTTGGTAGCAGTTCATAGCTAGGAGGTAAATCATGGTAGTTCATAGTTATGAGGTCTAGTTGGTAGCAGTTCATAGCTAGGAGGTAAATCTTAGTTCACATTTATGAGGTCTAGTTGGTAACAGTTCATAGCTAGGAGGTAAATCTTAGTTCATAGTTATGTGGTCTAGTTGGGAGCAGTTCATAGCTAGGAGGTAAATCATGGTAGTTCATAGTTATGTGGTCTAGTTAGTAGCAGTTCATAGCTAGGAGGTAAATCAAGGTAGTTCATAGTTATGAGGTCTAGTTGGTAACAGTTCATAGCTAAGTGATCAATCAGGTAGTTCATATTTTTTTGGTCCATCAGGTAGTAATTTTTAGCTAGGGGTCAATCAGGTAGATAGTTCAGACCAAGAGGGTCATTCAGGTAGAAGTTCACCACTAAGGGTCAATCAGGTAGATAGATCTGATCTATATGGTCAATCAAGTAGATAGTTTAGAACTAGGAGGTCAATCAGGTAAACAGTTCATATCTATCTAGGTAGATAGTTCATAGCTAGGTGTCAATCAGGAAATTGTTCATAGCTTAGGTAGCAGTTCAAAGCTAAGAGGTCTAATTTATAATATACTGGTTTTTGGTAAGTATACTTATACAGTGTAACAAGAGATGTTTATTTAGTAGAACATTTAGCAATGATTCGATTTTTTCATATAGCTATTAATGGCTTCCTAGACATCTAAAATATGTTTATAAACACTTTAGGAACTGCTTAAGCCGGTGTGCTAATCTTTTTATAAAAAGAGTGATTTGGGTCACCCTATTGGCCAGTCATAAATATATGTTCAAAAAAAGCTCTTCGGCTGATGATTTCAATTTAGCTTTTTTCAATTTCTCTGAAAAAAAAGTTTTATTGACTCACTAAAATGTACTTCTCTTGGGTGCCTAAAATAAAAATAAAGCGATTAAAAAAAAAATATTTGAAAAATTACCCTAATAGTGGATCTGTATGGATAATTGTGGAAGGTGCAGGATGGATAGAATTCTGAAAAATATTTTAAAAGGTTTTAGATAATTTTTACACAATTGATTGGCATATTAAAACAAAATTACGATCAAATTCTCAAACCTTTTTTGCATTGTATTAGAAAAAAGGAGAACTATTTCGTAGATTTTTTTTATTTCAACTAATGAAGTTTTTATTGAATGCATAATCAATAAAGAGAAAATACACAAAAAAGATAAACGTAACATTTATTTGCAAATTATGTATTTCTTCCAAATCTAACCTTTTTCTCTACGAAATCATCATCAGAGTCTGATACAAAATGCGGCCGAACCTAATCATTTTAACGGATTATTAATTGGAGTTTTTGGTTAATGCATAGGTTAAATGCTAGAGGCGGCTTATGAGAGGGGGGGGGAAGGTGGAACGTCCCCCTCCCTGGAAAACTGTGGGGACCTCCCCCACCCCTCTTGAAAAATTAAGAACGCAGGAAGAAGAGAGACGGGGCTAGCCTTTCAATTTTTAAATTTTCCCTGTTGCGCCAGTTAATAACTCAAAATATATTTTTAAAAATCAAAACTTGCTTAAACACATTTTCCATCTTCGACCTCTCAACTGGTCATGGTTTTGACATAAAACTGATAAAATTACCTGAAAAAAAATCCAGGGTGGGAATTTTTGCCGCCAGGGGGATAACAAATTTCGGTGCGCTTCGCACGCAATAATAAAATTAATTCCTCCCTCTTAAAAATTTCATAAGCCGCCCCTGAATGCCAGTATTATTTTATCATCAAGGTGTTGTCATATTCAAAAATATAGAAGCAAGATATATTTAAAAAAAAGGCTTATTTACGTCAAACTAACGTAAATTGCAAGTAAATAAGATTGAAATCTTATTTGTTTTCAATTATAACTCCTCTTTTTGAAGAGCTGTTAAAAAGAACAAAAAAGTTTTGAGTTTCTTATATATATATATATATATATATATATATATATATATATATATATATATATATATATATATATATATACATATTTATATATCTTTAACAGATTGAATTTGCTTTTCTCATTTGCTACGAGGTCAAATAGTCGTCCCAGTAAAGTTGCATAAATTTCAGATTCCCCTGTTTTCAGGACTAAATTGACTGACTGGCCGTGGATACCCCGGGGGTGTACCAGATCACAAAGATACAGCCTGCTATGAAATGTTGTATCAATTTTTAAGACAGGGTCGACTTTGAAGCGTAGGAAAGCCTTCGGGGTTGACTTTACCGCTTCAACTCACTTTCTCTTAGCCCAAGACATATACTTTTTAGAACTATTTGCACTTGTTTTTAGCTTATAGTCTTTAAGGAGTAATTGGAAAAATTCTCGTCAACTTTTGAGTTAGAGTTTGCAACCTTTTAATTGCAATGAGATAGTTCTACATATGTACAACGCATAAAGTTTATCTTCATAACATCTTGCAACTTTAAACTAAACGGTCAAGATACTTTTTTTTCAAAATAAAATTACCTCTCTTTTCGGTGTCTCTAAAGGAACCGGCTCATGAAATCCAACCTGCTTTATCGTAACTTCTTTTATTTCACTTTTCTCCCTCTCGACGGGTTCTTTTTCAAGAAGTTTCTGGTTCTCTTCAGTTCTCCTACAGCATCCCATCATAGGACTGCAGCACGATGGAATGGTACAAAATAAAATTCGTAGCAACGCAAAAAACATTCCGCAGCCCACTAGACTCGGACCTATTAATTTTAGCTCAAGAGTTCGGAACCCCTTGTCCCCGAGGCCAACGAAGGTGATGACGAGGCCCATTGCGACCATCCCGAGGCCGATATAGAGGATAACGTTGGCCCCGCTGTTTCCCTCGTAATTCTCCAATCCACGCCGCCGGGCAGCCTCATCCTGGAACAATTATTATTTGAAAAATAAAATTAAGATTTATTACTTAGAGCTAGCTGAGACTCAAGCAAGAAAGTTGGTACGAATCGTCTCATTCCAGATCCAGAGAGAAAAGAAACAATGTAAAAGATAAATATATCTATTTAAAAATCTATTGCCCATGGGTTTCCTTGGAAGAAAAAAAGCAAGAAAATTACCGAAATTTCTGTGTTTTCAATAATACCAAGCGCGCACTATTCAGATTTTTTGATAAATAAGTAGTGGGTGGGGGGGGGGGGGTTAAATACTCCCCCCCCCCGCAACCTCACTATATTGGTTGAAATGTTGGGCTTTGATTTGCATAAATCCAAGAAGCAGCTAGGAGTGTATGTGAACCAATATACAATTATTGAATAACAATATTCAATATGATAATTAATAAGAAGCCTCAGGAATATTGAGGATAATAGAAGACAAAAAGGCAAGGAAGTTATAGGAAACCTTCTTTTTTTGTACATTTATAATCCTAAAAGTCAAAATTTTAAAGATATTAGTTTCCTTTTTCATGTGAAGTTGGTGTTGCATTAAGTATTTTTGTTGTTATTGCAGTGTGACTTAGCTTTTTTCTTTTCTTATCTTCCTCTATAAAGTTGCAATATTTCAACCCTGAAACTATAATCTTCAAGTTAGGAAATTCGCGACAAAAGAAACATTTTTAAAGGTGATTAAAATTTTCTTTGTAGAAAAGTTCTCAGAGGAATAAAAATAATGTCTCCAGGGTTTCAAACTTTCATCTTTTCCTATCCAGGCTTAATTCTTCTCAAAACTTTCAAGAAAACTTTCATCTGTCCCCTGTCTTTACCCGACCCCCCTTCCATGTATCATTTTTTAAAACACAATCGAAATTGAAAGAGACATTTCAAAGTAAAAGGTTAAATATTTGCCTTGTGTGTTTCTTAGGCTAAAATTAAACTAAGTTATAAAGCTAACTAACATATAACATATATTTAGTCTTTGCCACAAAATCTGATTTTCTGATAAAATGTAATGCTAAGGAA